GTGTGGGTTCCAGCTGCTGGCAGGCTCTGGGAGAAGGGCCCCTGACATGTGGCTCCAGGGACTCACAGGTGCCCCTCTGTCCTGCAGATACACCCTGTCCTGCCAGCTGGAGCCCCCAGGCCAGAGGGCCGGCAGAAAGGGACTCTTGTTCTTCAGGTCCCGCAACATTTAAACTTAGTGGCCAGAGCCAGGTACGCTTCTGGTCTGGGGCCATTGGCAAGGGGTGGGCTGCTCCCCAGCCTCAGGGAAGCTTTGGGCCATGCTGGGTGTGGGGGGGTACTAAAGACAGGTTGGGCTGGGACTCTGCTCCACTGCGGAACAGTCCTGTCAGGCTCAAGGGTGATTCCCCTCCCTCTCTGAGACCCAGTTTCCTCCTCTGTGAGTGGGTGATGCTCATGAGCCTCCCCGTGACAGGGACCCCATGGGTGACGGTGATTGACAGGACCCTCTGCACAGGGCCAGGAGCACAGAGGGTAGTGAGGACAGGGTGGAAGCAGGATAACGGGGGGAACCTGGAATAACCTGCCTCTTCTGTTCACCTGTGTAGCCCTGTAGCTGCTGTCATCGGCCCACGACCCAGCTGGTACCCTGGCTGTGTGCGGAGGAGAGCTTCGCCTTTGGACTGGAGGCACCCGGCACCCCAGGATCCTAGTCTGCTTCCTGCTCCTCTTCCTCCCTCTGCTCATCCTGAGCCTCTGCTGGGGCAGGTGCTCTTGCACCTCTTCCATCAGCAGACTTGGGCAGCTTCCCAGGCTGCTGCTGCAGGCTCAGGGACCCGTACGTAGCTGCAGCCAAAGGAACAGACTGGAGAGCCCAGATATACATCCAAGTATATATATGGTCAATTAATATATGATAAAGGAGCCATGGACATACAATGGGGAAATGACAGCCTCTTCAACAGCTGGTGTCCGCATACTGGATAGCTACGTGCAAGAGAATGAAACTGAATTATTGTCTATCCCCACACACAAAAGTAAACTCGAAATGTATCAAAGACCTGAATGTAAGTCATGAAACTATAGAACTCTTAGAAGACAACATAGGCAAAAATCCCCTGAATATCAGCATGAGGAACTTTTTTCTGAATGCATCTCCTCGAGCAAGGGAAACAAAAGCAAAAATGAACCGATGGGACTACATAAAACTTAAAAGCTTCTGAACATCAAAGGACACCATCAACAGAACAAAAAGGCGTCCTACAGTATTGGAGTATATATTTGTAAACGACACATCCAACAAGGGGTAAACATCCAAAATATATAAAGAACTCACACGCCTCAACACCCAAAAAGCAAATAACCCAATTGAAAAAATGGGCAGAGGATATGAACAGATAATTTTCCAAAGAAGTAATTCAGATGACCAACAGGCACATGAAAACATACTCCACATCACTAATTATCAGGGAAATGCAAATAAAAACCACAATGAGATATCACCTCACATCAGTTAGGATGGCCACTATCGAAAAGACTAGGAACAACGAATGTTCATGAGGATGTGGAGAAAAGGGAACCCTCCTACACTGCTGGCTGGCATGTAAGTTAATTCGACCATTGTGGAAAGCAATATGGAGGTTCCTCAAAAAACTAAAAATAGAAATACCATTTGACCCGGGTATTCCACTCCTAGGAATTTACCCCAAGAACGTAATTTCTCGGACTCAAAAAGACATACCCATCCCTATGTTTATTGCAGCACTATTTACCACAGCTAGGATATGGAAGCAACTTAAGTGTCCATCAGTAGATGAATGGCTAAAGAAGATGTGGTACATATACACAATCGAATACAACTCAGCCATAAGAAAGAAACAAATTCTACCATTTGCAACAACATGGATGGAACTGGAGGATGTTATGCTCAGTGAAATAAGCCAGGTGAAGAAAGACAAGTACCAAATGATTTCACTCATTTGTGGAGTATAACAACGAAGGAAAACTGAAGGAACAAAACAGCAACAGACTCACAGACTTCAAAAACGGACTGGTGGTTACCAAAGGGGAGGGGTGAGGGAGGGCTGGTGGGGAGAGAGGGAGAAGGAGATTCAGGGGAATTATGATTGGCACACATGGTGTGCCGGGGGACAGAAAGTGCAGCACGAGAAGGCAAATAGTGACTCTGGCATCTTACTACACTGATGGGCAGTGACTGCAATGGGGTATGGGGGAGACACCATAACAAGGGTGCATGTAGTAACCACATTGTTTTTTCTGTGAAACCTTCATAGGAGTGTATATCAATAATACCTTAATAAAATAAGTAAATAAATAATCTTACTTCTTGGCAAATAGTGAATCTGTGGCATCTTACTTCACTGATGGACAGTGACTGCAAAGGGGTATGGGGGGGCTCGATAGCATGGGTGAATGTATTAACCACATTCTTTTTCATGTGAAACCTTCATAGGGGTGTATATCAATAATACCTTAATAATAATAATCATCATCATCATCATCATCATCTTACTTCTTAACTTCCTGGGTGTTAAAATGCAACCTTAAAAATAAATAAGTAAATGAATGAATGAATGACAACACCAAGAACACTTTTCTGAAGAAGTGTGAAGGCTTCTGTAAGCAAAGCCATCATTTAAAACCTATCATAAAAACCACTAAATTGCTGCTCTAAAAGATTACCAGTGTAGAATTTTGGGGAGAGGAAGAAAGGAACAGAAATGTTAACATGAAAACCTCCGAACATGCATAATACCTTATTTTGGTAAGATGTCTAGCTAAATAACTTCCAATTTTAAGAATAGAAGCAGTCATTTATTCAACAAATATTTGAGAAATTACTTCGTTCAAGGCACTTGCTAGGTGCTGAAATTAATCTGTATTTGTAATTGTTTGTAAAATTCATTGTAATTGAAATTAAATTATAGTTATCTGCTAAAAAAAAAATGCAATCTTATCTTTAAGATGGGATCCTTCCTGCCTTTCACTGTGTTGCCTGTGACTGGCTTTACTTGCCAGATTAATCGCCCAGGTTACGTATTACTTCATTAGGGGCTGGAGGAGGAAAAGCAGCATCTGGGCAAAGTTAAAGATAAACTGGGCCTTTGAGCAGGCTAAAGTAAATTTTACAATAGCCTCATTTAATTGACACAATGAAGACTTGGGCCATGCTGAGGTATTTTCTTATCTGGGGGATGTTCAAACATTCCAGGCCAGGTTACTCCTGGCTTCTTAGTTTTAACTAATCTTCACTGAAGAATGCTTATACTCCTAGTTTGATATTTTACTTTGGAGAATTAACGTGACTCTGATTTTGCTTAATTGTTTAATAGGGAGTTTTGGTAGGGGTCTTTTTCCAGAGGCCCTCACGCTACTCTGACTACACCCACGGTCCCTGTCTCAGAATCTCTGGCTAGTTATAAATTACTCAGCTGCAGATTACAAACCGAAATGACAGAAAGATACAAACTTTTAAATACAAGAAAATGCACTGTCAGTTCCAAGACCCAAGTAAAGAAACTTCATTCCCAAGTAAAAAACACGAGAGATACCCCATGAAACATTTTTTAATTTTAAAGGCGCTTCCTCGGGGCGGCCTCTTCCCCGCCGCCCCGCCGCAGGTCACCCTTGAACTTCAGCCCTCCCGGCCCTCGCCCTCGAGGCTCCCGCCGGATAAATCAACACAACGCAAAACGCCCGCCGGCCTCCCCGTCTGCGCGACTCGGCCCGGCCCCTCAGCCGGCGGCCCCGGCCCAAGCGGCGGTAGCAGGTCGGCGGCGCGGACCCAGGCCGGGAGGACGCGCGCCGCGGGGCCGAGAGCAGCCGCGCTCACCACCCGGTCCCGGACAGAGGAGATGCGGCTCCGGCGAGCCCCTCCCCCCGCGTCGACCGCTTCCCGGCCCCACGGGCCACGCACTGCCCGCCGAGCCACCTGCACGGCCGCCCCCTCACCAGCTCCACCGCGACCTCAGGTGGAGGCAGGGGGTCCCCGCGCACCGCCCGGGTCCGCCCGCACCCCGCGGTCACCTACCTTCCATTCCAGCCCGCAGGGCGGTCGCTGTCGACCTCATCCCTGAAGTGGGTCCCGCTCTGGACCCTCCACCGATCTGCGGCAGCGGGAGCCGCTTCCCGGTCGAGCTCTCGACGGCGTTGGTGATGCGGTCGGCGTGGGACAGGTTGCCCCACGCGTTGCGTGGTTGCCCTGAGCGGCCGCCAAGGCTGAAGGCAGGCCCGCGGCGGCGTCGGGGTTCCCGGTCGCGCCGCCCGACGGCACCGGCTGGAGGTGGCAAAGCTCGACTGGCCCGAGCGGCGATCTCCACCACCTGGCCCGAGAGTCCGGGTCCATCTCCACCACCAGAAGCGCTTAAGCCATGTTGACTGCCGCCCTCCGCCCGCCGCGGGAGAGCCGAGAAGGGGCGACTGCTACGCCGGGGGCCCACCGGGCGCGATGAGGCGATCTGAGGCTGGGGACCGATGTCGGTGCCGCCAGCGCTCAGGCACCTGGAGGAAGGCACAGCCGAGCACGGCGAGGACCCAGAACTTCGCAGGTCCATCAACATCTGGTCTCCGCCGGTTCCACTGCGCAGACGGGACGGCGGGCAGGAGGCGCCGGGCCGCTCCTCCGGACACGACCGGAGGACCGAAGCACGAAGGGTACCGCGCGGGGTCGCTCTCCCGCGGTACCTCCCGACGCTGCTAAATCTTGAATGTGGCGGCGGGGCCGCCTGCAGCTACTGCGCAGCCGCCGGACTTCTGCGTTCTCCCTGAGCGCCCAATGGTTGCTTTCGCCGCTGCGACGGCCCGTCTCTGACTGACGGCCCCTGCGGCCAATGATCCCGCGGTGCCGCCAGGCATTCAGCCAATGGGAGCGCGGCTGGTTGGGGCCGCAGCGGAGGCCGCGCAGGGCCGTGTTTTTGATCTTCACAGACCGACTCGCTGCCTCGGCAGTGCTTCTGCTTTCCGGGTGTCCTGTCGTCTCTGAGGCTCTCGACCGTGCGGCACTGTGACTGCCGGCGGCGGACCCACGTGCAGGCGGCGGCGGCACTTTACTTACTCCTGAGGCGCGGGGCCGAACGCTCGGGGAGCCGGGGAGCCCGCCGCTCCGCCTCCTCCGACCGCGCGCGGCCGGGGCGGCGCGGGGTTCCACCCGGTCGCCCCCTCTTGGCTCCACCCGCGACCCCTCAATGACTAGGACATATAGGACATGCAAGGATGGGGTAACATGGAAGGCAAAGCCAACCCAAAGGCCTGCGGAGACTTCCTGGAGCCGATGGCATTTAGGCAGGCATCTAAAGGATGAAAGGGAATTGGCCAACGAAGAGATGGACCTGCTTCAGGCAGATGGTGCAGCATAAGCCAACACTTATGCCGGAATACAGGCTGGAACAATAATGGCTGGAATACAGGACACCTGGGAGGGAGTGGTAGAGGTAAGACTGGAGCTAGATAGTCGGCATGGGCTGGGCCATGTGGGACCTTACACGCCATGCTAAGTTCAGACTTTATCCTTAGAGCAATGGAGAGTCATTCCAAAACTTCCACTTGAAGCATGTATATGTTATCAAGGGCAAGGAAAGGGAAACGAGACCAGTTCCTTACCTTGACAAATACCATATTGTCCTCTTCATCTCATTACGCTCTCTTTTCTCTCTCTCTATGAGCACTGGCAGAAAAGAATTTCTCATCTTTTGCAGTTCTCTCACCCAGAATCACCTTCCAAAGTCTCTCTCTGTCCTTTAGTCCTCCACCCCTCTTTTCTAAAGTGTATCTTCACTGGTAAAAAAAATTTCTAAGCACCTATTATTGTCAGTCCTCGTGCTAAGTATGGTGGATATAATGGCAGGTGAACACACACACACTACCTGATCTGTGAGCATTCACAGCTCTGTTACTGTTCCTTAAAGAAAACCCCAAATAAGGAAATGATAGATATTTTCCCTTGGATAAAGGAACAGAAGTTTAGAAGCACAGAGCAACTTTTTTCCCCAAAAAGAATAACTCAAGGGATGGTATAAAACCTTAAGCAGGGAGCAACACTTAATACCTAAGTGACCTGACCAAACTATGACATTCTCATATACTGTGCAACCACAATAAGCCTTCATCTACATGCCATAATTTATACATACAAGTACAATCCTTCAGAGTGACCACCTTAAAAAATAATCACTTGCACTTATTCCCTCAACATACCACTGCTCCAAGCATTTTTGTATCTTCTGGAATTACTTTCAGGAGCAATTTACCAGGAATCATCATTAATCTTAGAGGAGGAAATTTCCTTGAGCACCCATCTATATCAGCTCCTTACCATCTAAGAGAGATTATCTTTGGTCAAAATTCTTTAAAGGGGGGGAAAAAACCCCAGGCATTTTCAATTTGTTCACTTGTCCTACATAGAATATTTAGCTTCAAGTAACAATGGCCCTCCCCAACCCCCAAATTCTACCATGGAGAAACAGTTATCTCTGAAGAGGGTGTTTTTATATGTATTAAAGAGCATGACAGTAATTACAAGTGGGGTTCAAAAAATATTTTCACCAAGAGCAGCATCAGTGGAACAAATGGAGTTTATAAGATGTATATGTTACAATGTACATGGTTTAAATATTTTCCCTCATCAGCCTGTAATCACCCATAGCAAATAGTACTAAATTATAAATTTCATTAGGTAGGGGAGATACTAATTTATGCTTGTTTACAACAGAACATGCAGGTGTATGAAATAACACTGAGCATTCTGTCTGGTTTATTCAGAGACCAGTTACCACAAGTCAGATGTATTTTGGAGGTAATTCTGATGGTGCTTTGAAGTATACACGCCTTACAGAAGGTCTCCCAATTAACCGACATTATTGATCACCCACTTCTGTGTACTGAGCCTTGGGGAAAACAAGTATAAATAAGAAATACTGAACACATCTACTAAACTAATACTTATTCCTAATACTTACTGAGCACCTAACTTTTGTGCACTGTGTCTTGGCAAAATAAAAAGAGTTAGAAATACTCTTGTCCTCTAGAGCTCACATTTTAGCAGATTAGCAGATATGATACCTTGCAATCAGGATTATTACAGAAGTATTGACAAAATGGTTTGAGAACAAAATAGACATTCATTTTATTGGAGGAAAAGATCAGACAAAGGGAGTAATATGGTATGTCCTCAAATACATATTAGTGAGGTAAGGAACGTGTTACATAATAATAATATTAGCACAAATTCAGTGGCTTAAAATAATAGAAATTTATTTCTGGACAGTTATTGAGGCCAAAAGTCTGGATTCCAAGTACTGACAGGGTTAACACAACAGATTCCAGAGTTTAGGATGGAGATTTATCTTTTTAGGGGGCCACCATTCAAGCCACTACAGTCTACCCTCTGGGTCCCCCAAATCCACATTTATCCCACATACAAAATACATTTACCCCATCCAACATTTCCCAATGTCATCTCAACCCCTTACAACCTCATCTTTAAGCCCAAAATCTCACATAAATATCATAATTTTCAAATCTCATCATGTAAGTCATCTGAAGCAGGTGTAAGTGATAGTGTGAGTACAGTCCATCCCAGGGCAAACTTATTCTCCATATGCGGACCTGTGCAACTAGAAAACAAGTTATCTGCTTCCAAACATGCAATGGTGAGAGAGATATCTAAAATTCCAAAGACACACATTCTAGTTCCAAAAGCGAGAAATTGGAAAGAATAAAGGAGTCACAAAAAAAAAAAAAAAAAGAATAACTCAAATGATTTCACTCATCTGTGGAGTATAACAACAAAGCAAAAACTGAAGGAACGAAACAGCAGCAGACTCCCAGAACCCAAGAATGGACTAACAGTTACCAAAGGGAAAGGGCCTGGGGAGGATGGGTGGGAAGGGAGGTATAAGGGGGAAAACGGGGCATTACGATTAGCACACATAATGTAGAGGTGGGGACATGGGGAAGGCAGTATATACCAACAAGACAAGTAATGATTCTATAGCATCTTACTACACTGATGGACAGTGACTGTAATGGGGTATGTGGGGGAGACTTGATAATAGAGGGAGTCTAGTAACCATAATGTTCAAGTAACTACATTAACAATATCAAAATTAAAAAAAAATAGAATACCTCACAGACTACAGATCTGGGTTGAAATGAATTACTGGCTCGTGTGGAAGTCCTGGTGACATGATGACAAATATTTAGGCAAGTTATAAGATGGCGGTCTCTTAGCTTCCCCATCTCCTCTCCCTGCTTCACTCGAAAATGTTTTGTGAAAATGTTTCAAACTGCTGTAGTATACTGTCACACCAGAGGCAGGTTTCCAGGAAAAGAAGTGGCTGCAACTTCTCTGCCACCACAGACACGAATATTTCTCAGTTATTTATATCCCACAGCACGTGACCAACACCACACACCTGAAGGCTTTAGAGAGCAGGAAAGGAGAGTGGGACAGGTGAGAGGCGACTAAGACGCACGGCTGGCAAAAGAGGAGACATGAAGTGGGGAGAACATAACATGCAGGCAGTTTTCATAGGATTCAATGAGGAGGCATATTAATCGAATCAACTTCACAGGGTAATTCACATCCCATGGGTGGTATGGATAGAGGGCTGATACAATGGGAAGCGGATTCTTTGTAAGCTTACAACAGTTAATCCGTGAGTATCTACTGACTACTTTTGTACTAGAGGCACAGAGAGATACAAAAGAACAAATCCAATGAGGATGGGAGAGGGTTTGTTTTCTTTTAACTTCATGCTACCCGTTCCAGCTCTGCTTGGGAGGGGCTGCTGATGCCTGGGTTGCAGGAGCTGATTCCTGAAAGATGCTCAGAGTCCGTTCTCCTTCCCAGTAGCATCTCTCCTGCCATTCTGGGACTTCCTCACACTTACCAAACCCTTAGAGAGTTGAAATGTGACTGCAGATACCAAGATATGGACATTTTTTAACCAAGGAGCTGTTGGGACCCAGCTTCTATCCACCAGGGGCTCATCCTGCCAATGGGAGTACTGGGGAACTTTATTTCTGAATTGAAAGTGCATTTGAGGTCATGTTCCCAAACCTGGCTGTCCATCGGAATCCCTGTGGGAGCTCTTAAAACTGATATTTGTGGCTTAATACCAGACCTTCTGACAGACTCAGAATTTTCAGGGTACCAGAATCTTAAATTTTTTTAAGCTTTCAGGGTGAGTCCTATGCAACCAGTATTTGCAACCCTTCTGAGTTTTGATTCAATTCAACAATGATCAGTTGAACATCTTCCAAGTGTTATTTGGGGACCACTAATAAACATGGTTGGCTCATGTTAAAAAATTTTTTCTAAATGTAGATGAACAGTTATAGTCTTTAAACTGTTCAGCCCTTCACATGGACTCAGTAGTCCCTGCTTGTCCAGAGTTTTGCCTCCTGTGCTTTCAGTTACCTGCGTCCAGCTGTGGTCCAGAAGCAGACGGCCCACTTTCTGACATACCCATGAGGTCAGTAATAGCTTAATGTTCTCCAGTGATGCCAGTGTCATTCACCTCACTTCATCTCATCACGTAGGCATCTTATCTCACATCCTCACAAGAAGGGTGAGGATAGTACAACAAGATATTTTGAGAAAGATCATATTCACATAACTTTTATTACAATATGCTGTTGAAATTGTTCAGCTTTACTATTAGTTAATTGTTGTTAACCTCATACTGTGCCTAATTTATAAATAAAACTTTATCATGGTTGTGTGTATATGGGAAGAAGCATAGTGTAAATAAGGAGTTTGGTCCTATCTGTAGTTTCAAGCATCCACGGGGTTCTCAGAGTCTGAGTCTGTCAGAAGGTCTGTGGATAAGGGGCCTCTCCCATTATTTAGTGACTACAGCACACAAGGAGGTGAGTACTGTTATTATCCCATTTTAAAGATGGATGCTCTGAGGGTTACATAGCTTAAATAACTTGACTGAGTCATGTCAGGATTTGCATCCAGGTCCCTATACCCAAGAACCTTATCTCCTAACTTCTCAGCCTGCTGAATCTCTGTACATCTAATAAAGATGAGGCTTCGAAGGAAATACTGTCCAATACTGTGCAGTGCATCATTTACAAAATTGGAAAACTTACTAAATTTTGGGGTAAAATGCTCTTTAAGTGGACTACTTGCCTACAATTTTTGTAAGTTAAATTAGTCAGTGAGCAATGTGTAAGCTCCATTCAAAGGTAAGAATTGGAATTTAAAATACTGCTGGATTACATATTTATGAATATGAGCAGACAGTTGCTTTTTTCGTATAGATAGCTATG